TGCAAAGAACAAAGCAATTAGAGAAAGCACGCACCTGGCTGGTCAATATATCTATGACATCAAGGCCAAGAGCAGAGCGTCACAATCCATAAATAGGACCATCACTGGGTTACAATGAAGACCGATGTGGCATTCATTGTTGCAAATCTTTCTTTCTGTTTTTATCAAAAAATCAGTCCAGCTGAATTTAGCGGCACTGTTTATTTTCTGATAATGAAAACATCTACGTTCAAACCAAAATTCTGAATAGCAGCATAGTATTTTTATTAATACTTAAAGTACGCCATTACTTTTGAGATGCAACGACATCAGCTTAAGATTTTCTAAAATGGTTCCAATCTTTTGCTAATTCGGTAAGCTCCATCCTTAGATTTTCAGGTACAACAATGTCAAGCCTCGCATGTGGTCTTATTTGTGGCTCTGATAAGAAAGCATGTCTTGGGAATCGCTCCCTGTACCCATCTCACGTGTCAAAACAATCGCAATTACGATCGCCTGTTCCAGAAGAAAAGCAGCACAGAAGCGACCGATGTCTTTAACTGTCATGTTTCGAAACGGCCGAGCCTCGTCATAATAGCAGTCGTTCAAAGGAACCATATTTTCTCCGCTTGCCTCCTTGAAAACACCATCCAATACTCATCGTCATGGGTGACGGTAAATGCTCAAATATATTCGTATTCACCAAGACTTTGCCATTCCCAATTACCACAGACCAGTTTGATTCCAGTATCAAAGAATTCGATTGACAGATGTCTTAATTTCAAATCTTGCCTGCCGTTGCTTGCAAATGCTTAAACACGAAAGTGTCCTAAAGTACAACCACTGAATTAAAAGAATTGTCTGCACGGACAAATTCATTTTTCGAAAATCGTACTAAAAGTTAGTCGATGATAACTTAAAAGACACCATAAAAAAATCCCCACACATGGTGCGCATTTTGATCGCGCTTGATTGAAATCGATTTAACGTGGGTAGGAATACGTTAAGAACTCGAACTCCAGAGGTGCCCAAGACGGGGAAATCAGTGTTTTGACCATGAATTCTCTTGAGCAGAGAACCACATGTCACTTCAGACCTGGATTATTCGGTCGGTAGCGCATCGGACTCAGAATCAAAAGGTCGGAGTCACTTGCATTTCTTCCTTCTCAGATTGATAAATGTTTACCATTTCGATAAACGAGTGGAAAGTAAACAGAAGAATACAACTCATGCTGGTCACATAGATGCTGTCGATTCTATCCTTAAAAATAAAGAACGCACTGGCTGATGAGACGACGGAAATGGAGATCAACGCCCGCACCATAAACCTCATGAAAACAAGCATGCTAGAATTAGCTCCATCATGTAAATATAAGG